GATTTATAATGAAGTTTTGATAACTTAAAAAGTAAAGCTACATAATGACTTGTAGGTAAATTAGATTGATGCGCATCACATGCAATAGAAAGAATTTGAATACCAAGGATATTACTAAATTCTTTCGAAAAAGATGGGATGAAACTATTACTGAGGTAAGGTACACTCATGATATTAACAAGTGATTGCATTAATACATAGAACGTGCCACTTGCAACATAATGCGAATTAATTGGAGTAAGTGAAATCCTTTGAACCACCGAAAGCAAATATTTTAAAGTATACTCCCTTAATTCATTAAAATCTTTATTATCAACATCTTGAGACACAATTCGAATGAGAAAATGTATCAAAGCAAATGACCATTGTTCATTTTTCTTTTGAGACCTGTCTAAAAAGACGAAATCCAAGAATGGTCGAATCATTTCCAACTTATTTCGTAAACATGCAGATTTTTTCTCGGAAGGTTTTGATTTAATTAAATCAAGTCTTGATACATCAAAAATTCTTTCAATTTGTGCAAATAAGTATAACCAAGATTCATTTGACTTTGTTGAAATGATTAGAATAAAGGGATGTATTCTACGATCGTGATCCGTTTTAACACTAAATGGACATTTATATTCTGATGAAGAATCGGTTTGAGATTCCACTTGGTATATCAAAACGTCAGTAATTCCTTTTATGACATTATCAAGTAAAACTTCCGATAGTGTTAACGACAAATCTGTTAATTTATTCAAAATAATATCCAAAGATAAAATTTCTGATCGAACAAGTGAAACAATTTTATTAACAGCATTGGAAGATGTTATCCCAGATTGAGCTGTGACAAAAGGCAAAAGCTGCTCCCATTGTGAAGGGTTTTCAATTATAGTTTGGGTCACCTTTTGAACAGTTTGAATAGAAATAAACCTATGTTGTAATTCCATTTTTTTTTTTTTAAGGAAAAGAGAACAATCGGGAATTCACTTTTGTTTGTTGCATGTAGTCGATCATTAAATAAGCTTGAATTTCACGTGAAACGAAATTGTCAGGTGATAGTCATCTGATCGACGAGTTTTTTTTTCAACAATTCAATGTTGTTTAAAGTGTGGACTCAAAATTAAATTATCGTAAAATTTATTTTTTTATAAAATATAAAAAAGATAATAGTTCAAATGTGATGCGACGTCTAAATCCAAACCTAGGTTTATTACTTTTTACCTTAGAAATAAACCGCATAAATTAAAGTAAACTCGGGTTATATATAATCTATTTCCTAATAAATAATTAAGTAATTTTGATAAAAATTGAATGAATGAATACTCTCTCAAAGGGTAAGAGGATCATACTCATGATGAGAGTTAATATCATCATAAGCACTATAATCATCATCAGATGATGATGACGAATCGTAAGGAACGTTATCGGATTCAAAACTTCCTGTCTTGCTACTTCCGTCATCATAATAACAATCAATCCCAACATCTACAGAGTCCTCATCCCCTAAATAATCATCTAAATCATCATCCAGTCTACTTAAATCATCAGTACCTTCATTACTAATGGTAGGTGAGACGGCGTTATGTTCTCGGAAATCATTTATATGATTTATGCTACTTCCAACATCACCGTTTCTTTCAGAGAAGCGATTATTAACATCGTGATATCTTTGTTGACGTAACTCTCGTCTAATCGTCTCACGACCTTTTTGGATTGCTCTCTCAATCCTAAGACGATTCGAAATCATGTGCAATTTGGGCCAAGTTACTCGTTGACCAACCGTAATCATCCTTGCGAGTCGTTCGCGATCTGGATCGGTCAGAATATAAAAAAAATCTAAAAAACTTGAATGTGGCCATATCGTTATGTTTCCTTCAAACTTTTGTAACCAAATTGAGCTCCAATCCTGGTCAGCAACCTTTGGCAAGAGGTCAAGGTCACGTATCCATTTAAGCCACTTATTAAGGTCTAATTTTAAATATTGTTCAATGCTAGCAACCAAAAATCCACCTCGCCAGCCTTTTCCATGACGATGAGTCACCGGTCTACCGACCGAACCACGAGGAGCATAAAAGAAAAGATGAATATGCGGATTCACCTGGGAAACGACGGTATTTTTAACATTAAAATGCATATTTAAAGGTTGAACGGGAATGTCTGTGCGGAGCGATCCATCCTTCCATTTATAACCATAATTATATGGTATAATTGAACCATCCTTTAACTTTTGCATTAATACAACGGGATTTAATATACCAGGAACAGCAGCGCTAGCGATAACTATTGTAAAAGTAATGGTAACAATATAAAAATACCCACAACAACAACAACAACAATAATAATAATAATAAAAATAATTTTTTTAATATAAAAACGATATATTTTAAAAACTTGATAAATTTATGGTATTTACCTGCTGACCAAATAACGCAGTCAGGTGCGGTTATGTAATTTATGACCTTTGGAGGGGAATGCGGATCGTAGGGAATTACTGAAATATTTAAAATTCTCCCGGTTCTTTCATACGCTTCTTTGAAGGTTAAACTTCCTCTAGTTATCCACTGAACTTTTCGAGCCCAATCACATGCATCGAATCTAGCACCAGTCTTCCACCACCTCTTACACCATACAAGAAACGGATCGGAGCATGGTGTTAACCGAGTATATAATTCGGGGGTCAATATTTGATCCAGCTCCTCGTCAGTTCTTACACAAATCAATGCGGCTATCAATCCACCTGCACTGGTTCCGGAAAACACAGATGGTAAAAGTTTTGCGTCAAAAAGAGCTTTCACAACACCCAAGTGATAATATCCAAAACTAGCACCGCCGCTAAGGCAAAGCGCCGATCGTCCATAATTTTTGTAAGTATTTTTAAAGAGTTCATGTTTTTCCTTAATCGATAATGATTTTGTGGCCCTTGCAAATTCAAGAGATTGGGTTACTAAAAGGAAAACACAAAAGGATAAGGTTAATATTATATGATAACCTCATCATAACTTGAGCAGGATCATTAGAATGCGAACCTTCATTAACATATTCCTCGACAACATTTTTTGTTCCATAGTAAGAATGAGAATATAATCTAACGTTCTCAATCCCCGCATAATTATGTTTAACACAATTTTGGAGGACATTTATCAATTTCTGTGGGTTTTCGGTAGCACCTTGACGTAAAGATCTCAAATCTCGATCGACTTTTAGCAAAAGGCTATAATCATAATAACCATAAGGAATTTCCTTTTTCCATTCATCATATTTGAAATGTGTATCTATCTCCTTTGCAGCTACAATCCAATCTTCATAATTTTTGGTATTACGCATCTTCTCTCTCAAGAGTCGACATTTTCCTCTCCTTGATTTGAAAGTATTGTATTGAAATATTCATATAAAAATAATATCATCGTTTTAAAATCATTGACTTTAAAAATTTTACCATTGATAAAAATATTCCCAAAAATTGACGATTTGTCGAATCAGAATATATAAAAATAATTCGAGAAAGATGATCGCGAAAATTAAGGACTAAACGAAGAGATGTTGCACAATGGATAAATAGATTGTCGTAAATCATTATTATTTTAAATTAAAATATAATCACCTACCATCAAAGGATACCTGATAATATGATATGAATATCCTTCAAATTCTTTAGGAGCTTTTTTCGTTTTTACTTTTTGGCGAGTTGGCATGAAATCGGTTACAGCTGCAATGTGCTCAGTTTGATCGGATTCTGGATCATTCGAAAGAGCTTTGGCGAAAGCTTTTATATGTACTTCGTTAACAAATTCTAATTCCAATTCATTATGTGAAGGTTTTTCCTTTACTTTTGAATGTTCCGACTTATTTCGACAACAATTATTATGAGATTTTATGTCCTTATTTGCCATTTTGATTTTAATATATATAAATATATCATTAAATAAAGAAATTATCAAAATTCGAAGGAGGATTTTTTTTTTTTTTTCATTACCCGTATTTATTCAAAAATATGGGCGTTTTAAAAAGTTTTTATATGTATAAAATAATAAACTAAAAACAAAACAAGAAATGGGGGGAAATCCGGCGCTAATCATATGAGTATCATATGTGGGACAAATTAATATAGATCGGAATGACGATTTAACATGTCAATTATTTAAATGACGTTATAAATTTTACAAAAACACATTTCTGATTTGATTGACGATCTTTGGAAAATCACCCAGTTTTTATTTATTTTTTTTTTTCCTTCAACTAGTCTATCATCATGTCTACAATAATCCCGGTGAAGAAGAATTATACCAGACGGTCAAGATCTTTGTTGAATTGGAAGTTATCGACGCCATACGATCTGCATGCGTATGCTTCGAGATTTAATGCTATGCTACATTCGGAAAAAGAATCTGTGTATTGAGTCCAAAGGATCCAAATTTGCGAGATTTGCTTACTTGAAGAATGGAAGAATCTTATGGAACTTATTGATATAATTCTCAAGTAATTTAATTCATGATGACCCCTGAACAAACAGGAAAAGGAAAAGGAAAAGGAAGCTTTTCTAAGGATGAAATATAATCGGGAGTCCCGTGACAAAGCACTTAGCTTGCTTCATAGAGAGAATGAAGTTAAAATTGAATATAAAGAATCAGATGTTTCCGAATTTGAAGAATCGAATGTAAACAAAGCAGTGAAAGTAAATACTAGAAGGAAATTATTCCTGAAAATATATTGACTACAATTAAACAAACATAATTATTTTCTTTTTCGTTAAATCTTCTTGATCCAATTTTCGAATTAGACCAAATTCTGACATTCAAGAATCCCTCTGCCTATGAAAGAAGTTTGCCTGGAATTTTATCCCTAATATTTTTTATGGCTTCTAGTGCTATTCCTAAATTAGTAGAACCGTGCTTTGTAATTAAATGATAAGCGCGTTAAGTTCCCGTGATTTTTTACACGTGAACTTTGGATTATAGAATTGATCTGCATACATCAGAAATTAATTTTTTAATCTTGCGTTCTCTTTACAACAAAATATGGCGACAAAAAATAAAAAAGGGCCAACTCAGGTTTGCAATAATTTTTTATAAAAAAAAATTCATTACTCAACATCAACTTATTTACTTATATTATTTAATAATGTGTAGTCCGAGTTAATGGTGAAAGCATGTAGTGAAATCGTCAAAGAATTAATTATTGCACAAGAGAATTCAAGAGACATTAATCTAAATGGGTTGAAAACTAAATATTCTCGATTGAATAAATTGAATAATCAACCGAAATTAGTTGATATCATAGCAGCTATACCTGAACAATATAAGCAGGCCTTATTACCTAAACTTAAAGCTAAACCAGTTAGAACAGCTTCAGGAATTGCGGTGGTGGCGGTTATGTGTAAACCACATAGATGTCCACATATTGCGGTAACAGGGAATGTTTGTGTATATTGTCCAGGAGGACCAGATTCAGATTTTGAATATTCAACGCAATCTTATACAGGTTATGAACCAACTAGTATGAGAGCAATAAGAGCAAGGTATGATCCTTTGGAACAAGCAAGGGGAAGAGTTGACCAATTGAAAAGTCTTGGACATAACGTTGATAAAGTTGAATATATTATCATGGGTGGTACATTTATGTCATTACCTGAAGATTATAGAAATTGGTTTATCGCTAATTTACATAATGCATTGTCTGGACATATGACAACTGATGTCGATGAATCCGTGAGGTATTCGGAACAAAGTATGACGAAATGTATTGGGATCACCATTGAAACACGTCCTGATTATTGCCTTAAACCTCATTTGAGTCAAATGTTAAGATATGGATGTACTCGATTGGAGATTGGAGTTCAAAGCGTATATGAGGATGTTGCAAGAGATACGAATAGGGGTCATACGGTTAAGGCGGTAACAGAAACATTTCAATTAGCAAAAGACACTGGATATAAAGTAGTTTCACATATGATGCCCGATTTACCGAATGTTGGAATGGAACGTGATTTAGAACAATTCAAAGAATATTTTGAAAGTCCAGCATTTCGTACGGATGGATTGAAAATATATCCAACCCTGGTCATACGTGGAACCGGTTTATATGAATTATGGAGAACGGGAAGGTACAAGAATTACACCCCAAATGCATTGGTTGATTTAGTGGCAAGGATATTAGCTTTGGTTCCTCCGTGGACAAGAATATATCGCGTTCAACGTGATATCCCAATGCCTTTGGTTACTTCTGGTGTTGAACATGGAAATTTACGTGAATTGGCATTAAATAGAATGAAGGATTTAGGTATTGAATGTAGAGACGTTAGAACGAGGGAAGTTGGTATTGTTGACATTCATAATAAAGTAAAACCTGATGAGGTTGAGTTAATAAGAAGAGATTATGTGGCAAATGGTGGATGGGAAACATTTTTATCTTATGAAGATCCGAAACAAGATATTTTGATTAGTCTTTTAAGATTACGAAAATGTTCATCAGCTACTTTTCGTCCAGAATTAACCTCTTGTCCCACTTCTATTGTTAGGGAGTTGCACGTGTATGGTAGCGTTGTACCTATGCATAATAGAGATCCTACCAAATTTCAACATCAAGGGTATGGTACTTTATTAATGGAGGAAGCCGAAAGGATTGCTAAATTTGAACATGGTAGTTCGAAATTAGCTGTTATTAGCGGCGTCGGTGTAAGAAAATATTACTCAAAATTAGGCTATACTTTAGAAGGTCCTTACATGTCAAAAATGTTAATTTAATTAAACCATTTTAATCATATTATTGATTTAAAATAAAAAATTTTTTCTTAATAACCAAACCAAACCCAAGTTGGTTGATTAATTTTTAAAGATTCATTTCAATTTCATCAATTTATTTGTTGGATCTAGGCATAAATGCGCGACGATATCCATGGTGTCCCCATGTATAATCGCTTCTGATGTAGTTAGCTGTTATCGAATACGTTACATTCTTCCTATAGGGGTACAACATCTTTGGATCATCACCCTCCCGTAACACAAAATTATGAATCCCGACTGATCATAACTTGCTTTTATGCCGTGCGTTGATTCGTCAACCACTGCGGAAACAAGACGGTAAAAAAAAATGATTAAAGTACGAATGTTTCCGGCGAAATTAGTACTACTTAAATTATTTATTATTTGATAGTTGTACAAATAAAGTGAATGTAATACAATACAAAAGATTAATACATATTAAAAAGTTTCTCTCAAACTTCTACGTCATTTAAACTCTTTGACCATCAGTAAACTCCGGATTTCTCTTTTCAGAATCTTGAACATTGCTTTCATCCTCCGCTTGTTTTCTTTCTTTGCTCGTATCAGTAAATTTGGGAAACTCAAATATATCTCCCTTAACTTTAGCATACAACCACAAAACTCCTAACCTTACTCCAAAAGAAAGGAAAGTAAAGAAAATTGAAGCTAAAGGTGCTGCAACAAATGCTCCCAAGACACTATAATCATTATTATAAAGGGAGGGTAACCCGAGAAGTTCAAATCCCATTTTAGCACTATTGTATAAGATTGAACCAAAGGCGAAGACTCCGAATAAACCTCCGATGCCTCCTACTAATGCATCAATACCGTTGATGAAGTAAAATTGATCACATAATCCTAATAATATTGGAGGCATTGCAGCCGCCGCTAATAAATCTCCAATTAGGAAAACTCTCAACACATCCAAATCTTTTAATCCCAAGACAACTATCAAAATACGCGTTTTTTTTTTTTTTTAAAAAAAAAAAAGATATGTTAATGTTAGTTTAATTATTATATTAGAAAATGAAGATGTTTCAACGTCAAAATGAAAACCTACCAGCTGGAATATTGGCAACTAATGATAAACCACGTATAACATTTAATGGAAGACGATTTCGGAACAAATCATTGGAAATGATAGCAGTGGTGGCACTAATTAATGTATCATATGCCGCACAACTCATACTAACGGTCAACACCAGAATAATTCCACTAACCCAATCTGGTAATGCTTTGAATAAAGCGAAAAATGCTAAATATCCTTCTAAATTTTCTTCTCCTGGCCATAATCCTGACCATGCCGCTAATATACCAGTGAATCCTATCAATACAAGGACGGGGAATAACATTATCGAACCATAGATCGCAGAAAGTCTCAATTCACGATTATTCTTTGATGAAAATGTGCGTTGCCAGAATCCCTTTAACAATTAGAATAGGAGAGGTTAAGAAAGATGATTTAAAACTAGGTGAATTATAATATTTGTGAAGATACCTCATGGAAAAGAGTGGAGAATGCGAGAGCTACGGTCATAATGTAAAGTAATTGCCATCCTAATGAATTTGATTTCAGGAGAGGAGAGCTATCAATGACAGATTTCTCAATTTTCACCGAGGTTCCAAGTCCAATTGTAGAAAGTACAACAAGTATAATAATAGCCCATCCTTGAATATGATCTGTAATTAAAGATGCACGAAGCCCTCCATATCCTATTTAAAGTAATTCAAAGATTTTAAAATAACGAACAAAGAAAAGTAAAAAAGTTTTTATTTGTTAAAACACGTACCAGTGTATATAGTTGTGATTATGGCGATCATAATAACTGGTGCATATTTTTCAAGACCCGTTAATAAATTTATAATATTGCCAACAGCTGATAGCTCACTTATCATATAACTAAACATATAAGCCATTGACATTAAAGAAATATAAATTTGATTAATGCGTCCAAATCTTTCCAACGTAAACTGTGTTAAAGTAAATCCTTCGGGACTTTTTTCCCTGATCAAAGGACCGAGCCATGCAAATACAAATAATGGCACAACACTTCCAATGGCATACATAAAAACACCTAATAATCCCGCCATTGTACCAACTTCAGGGTACGCATATAATATAGATGAACCAATACCTAATGGTAAGATAATAAAGAAGTTAGATGGAAATACCACATGAACTATCCTAAAATACTATATATACTAAAGAAGAACATTTTAGGCGGCAGCTTCCCTACGCAGGCATTAACCTGATCAGGTATTAACGGTACTTTCTCAGCCCAATCTTTTCTCAACTTCCTTTTCCAAGAACCAAATAGGTTTCTTGGAACTTAAAAATTACAGAAAAGTCGAGCACCCGTAGTGCCGATTCAATGACTTATTCGTTTTATCGAGAATCAAGATATTACTAAAGTTTATGAAGCAACGTATGTATCATTTATTTAATACAGCAAAAAGAAAAAAATTTTTTATTAATATATAAGAAATTTATTAATGGAGAAATGGAATTTCTCCCGAATGATTACATGACATCGAAGGAGTCTCTTAGAAAAATTGACACTTGCGTTGAACAAAGCACTTCACCTATACAGCATATAAACACACTGCATTTCATACAAACCATTAAACTGCCGCCTCAAAATTTGTTTCTCCTAGGACGGATTTTTTTTTCTTCATATATTAAGTTCTTACTTGAAGCAAACCAGTTGGCGGCCAAAGCGACTGCATTTTGAGTACCCAATGAAGAAAGGTAATCTGTTTTGGTTTTTGTTTTTTTATATCCTGCGAAAGTTCCGATTCCTAAGAATATTACTAATACGACATAAATTAGTGCGTTTGATACTGCTGCTGGTAACATATTTAGATTTTGTCGTAATTTTTTTTTTTTTTTTTAAGGGGGAAACTAGTTATTTAAATAAAAATTATAAATGATGATAATCTTGAAAAAAAAAAAAAATTTATAAAGTGAAACAATTACATAAATGTGATACAATTACGAATAATATCAGTCGTGGGTATACCATTTCTTATAATAGTTAATATTTAAAGCTATTTTTTTATTTAGTTATTCCGAGATGCCTTTGATGGATGTACAGTTTATGGGGGTATGGGTTTAAAAGAAAAATACTTAGTTTATCGGAAGTGTACACATTGTTTGTCAGGAAAGATAAAAATGTTTTTACCAAATAAAGATATATTTGCTTTACATAATTAATGATGTGGCGAAATGAGTAATACTTTTTAATGGATCATTTTTTACGCGTTTAAAAAAATCTCGTTTTAAAGCATTCATACTAAAAATGCCTTATTCAAAGATTGACTACATTTTCATTTAATTATCAAATTCAATTCGTATTATAATTAATTTCAAAAGTTACGGAAGCGAGACTTGGTAAAAAATTTTACCTATAATGAATTGCGGATGACTTCCGAATTTTTTTATCAAATACTCAAATACTCGGAACAAAATTCTATATCGGAGTTTTTAATTGATCGATCGGCAAATGATTTTATGTGTCGATCGAAGTTGTAACAATTATATATATTTTATATTTGTGAAATAAAATTACGTCAAGAAATTTTGAGGAATATGTATATAAATCAACATTAGCAGATTCTTCATAGTAGTATTAATTTCTAAATATTAAAGAACTTTTAAATCGCTTTTGACAAATCCTATAAAAATGTTATTTCTCTATATTCTTACTACGGTATATAATTTTTTTTTTTTACATATTTTGCATATTTGGTAATTTAAAATATTTTTGCAACACAAAAATCCGGGAGTTAGCGTGTTCTGTACATGTGTACCACATAGAAAGTTGACAAATTTAATTAAACGATAATTATACTATTATATATTTTTTTTAATCCATTTATATAATTATGTATATATTTATTTATGCGCTACTACAGAAACATTTCTTTGTAATGTTATTAGTAATATTGACACATTTGTCAAATTTAACAATTTAGATTAGATCTAAATTTTGAATTCTTTTTTTTTGATGAGTTAAAATTTGAATTAGCCTGAATAATTGGAAGTGTTAATGTTAGTTTTACAACTTATAATTTTTGAGTTTCATTCTGTAAACATTATCTAAAATAATTTAAATAAATAATAATTTTTTTAGAAATCATAAATATTACTTATACATTTAAACCTGCTAAAGATCTATATAATATAATATATTTTTATAAAAAATATTTGTTTTAAATAATATAATAAAGTTAATAAAAATAATCAATATAAAATTATTATATTTAAATTATAATTATTATGAAATTGAAAATAATTTATAATAATTTATAATTACTATTTTATTAAATAATCTATTTAAGTAATAATCATCTAAATTCAATAAAAATCACATATTATTTATTATTAAATCTGAAGATAATACTTTTTATAAATTCATAAAAACATAAATATTAAAATATTTTAATAAAAATTTTTATGTATTTCTATTCATCTATCTTAATCTGATTTTTAAATTAAAATAAATTAAAAATTTAAACATTTATGAATAAATAATTTTTAAATATTAATACAACTTAGTTATAATCAAACAGAATTCTGAATATTTCTTATTTAACTTATAAATAAAATATAGTAAAATGCTTTTTTATAATAACTTGATTAATATTAATACTAAAAATATAATTTTACTATTATTAGATTTCTCTTATTAAAATAATTCTAATAATACTAAGATCATCTAAATCCAATTACTAGTTAGCTTAAAAACTGAGATATATAGAATAATGAATTTTGAAACCTTTTGTAATACACAATTTTTACTAAAAACTCTAATCAGAGTTATATTCTAATGATTGGTCAATCTAAATGAATTTATAATATAATCACAAAAAATAGTCATAGTTTATTTTTATTATTTTTAATTTTATATTATTTTATTTGTAATCCTCATAACATGATTAATAAATTTATGACAATAACATATTATTAAAAAATTTCTAAA